CAGCATGCAGCATTCTGTTTCACCACAGGCCCAAAAGTAAAGAGGCCAACTGACCCCGTGGTCAAACCTCCGGCCAAAATCAACCTGTCCTCTGTGAGTTCATTATCTGAAGTACTGTGTCACAGTCATTGGAAGCTGACTACCCTACTTGCGTGTATGGAGATATGTTTCCTTTTCATCATTTTTCCAGACATGAATCCTTTTATAGAAAGACAGCAACGTCCTAAGGCTTGAGAGAGAGGTTAACACTTCACCCAGGTGTGTGCTCAGCATTAATGATATTCCTGTGCTTCTTTCTCTGTCTTCTCTATGTGTCAGAGACTACTGCTGTCAAAATAGTCTTTGTGTAAGAAGTAGTTATACAAGTGAAAGCAGTATGTGTCTCTCATGAAAGAATTCTACATCACAGCATGAACTTTTAGAATAAATTTGATAAAGTGTAAATATACTTAACATTTGGTGTTGTTTAAATTTGATAGGCAATTATCTAAGCAACAAAGCCTTGCCTTTTCACAGAAATATATCAGTAATAAAAGAATTAGATGGTGATGCACATCTATAACTCCAGAATTCTGAAAGGCTGAGGCATGAGGAGCACAAGTTTGAGCCCAGACAGGGCAACTTAGCAGCTCAGCAAGACTCTGTCTTAAAAATAAAAAGGGAACTTGGCGTGTAGCACGGTACGAAGGCCCCTAGTTTAATCCCCAGTACCGCCAAAGGGAAAAGGAGAAAAAAGCCTTACAGCTTAAATTTAGAATAATGAAGCTGAGGATGTAGCTCAGAGGCACAAGCACCTGCCTGGCAAGAGCAAGGTCCTGAGTTCGATTCCCAGTACCAAAAAAAAAAAAAATAGTAGAATGATGAATAATTCTTACTGTGTCAGGTAATATTAACAAGCTATTACAATGTTCAAAGTTCTCTATATTTTTGGCAAAGCAATAGATTTCTTAGTAATTAACATGTAAATTAATTAGCATACCACTGAACATATACAACTGATAACTCTGTAAGTACAGATATATATTCATTCAAAATATAAAATTCATAGATACAGCTAAGTAAATAGAGATTCTGGATAGAGGACTGGTGTGTGATGATCTCACCACCAGTTTTCTTTGATTGTTTAATAACATCTTTTAAGCCCTTCGGGGGCCCAGTGCACCCGGCCGCGCAGGCACCCAGGAAGCAGCGTGGAGACACATGCCGGCCCTCGGGCCAGCCACCACCACGCAATCAAGAAATGCCGTGCCACAGAGAAGCACTGACACAATAGGCCCACCGGAGACATGTGTGAACCATCCTGACATGGAGAAACCTCTGGGAAAACATGCCACTCGGCGGGTTGCTCTTGGCCCTGCCCTTGAGAGCCAGAAAGGTCCGGAGTCAGTGGAGGAGCAGCTGATGAACAAGGACTCGGAGAACACGAGAATACCAATGCCCAATGACTCAGAGGTCGAGCTGACTGGGGACAGGAGAGCCATTCGAGACCTGGAAACCAGGAGGACCTTGCGCAACACCCGGGGAGCCCCCTGGAGGCCATTCTTCCCCTAACTGTACAGGCTGTGGTGGAGGAGCGAGTGGAGCTCCGGAGAGGTCTGCACCGAGACTTCACTGATTACATGGGTGCACAATATTCAGATTTTGAAGAACCTCCTTCATGGAGCAGGTATGTGTCTAGGTTACCTGCCTGGGACACTTCGCATGTGATGGTGCTGAGACTGACTAGGGGGCCAAGGACTTCATCCACATGTTCTTGCCACCTGTGTTGATGGTTGGGGAGAAACACTCAGTGGTTGTGGGATCCCAGTGTGCTGGGCGGCTAGACAGAACACCCCTCTGCTTTCTTAGACAAGAGGCATTGATAAAGCATACTGGATCCCAGGTCAGTAGTGGGGCAAACTATTCTTAAAGATAAGCTTATTACTCAGTCAGCCACAGATAGTAGAAAAAAGATATAAAAAATGGCTTTTGCTCCAGATAGCTCACTTGAGATGTTAGTAAGAATGCCTCCTCAGTATTTTATAGCCGTGAAGAGCAGGAGGCCAAGGAGAGAAAACAAAGAGACCAAGAAAAAATAGCTCTGTAAGTCTGATTCTCAGGGCCCCAAGAAGAACTCATCAATTACATTCATCTGCTACTGCTTCCAAAAGCCAGGCTACCTCAAGAGGGACTGCCCTAAGAAGCCCCCTGGGCCATGCCCTGACTGTAAAGGTGACCACTAGAGGTTGGACTACCTGCTGAAGCGAAGGCCCCAGAGCTCAGATCCCTCCTACCAGCTGGTCCAACAGGAATGAAGGGGCCCAGGGCATACTCTGCCTTCTCCCCTTGGCCAGACCGTTATCTTCAAGGAGGAGCCCTGCATAATCATGACTATAGAGGGAAAAGTAAACAGCCTATTGCTGGACACTGGTGCTAGTCTCTTGGTCCTTCTTTTCAATCCTGGCCTTCTTTCCAGCTGTCACACCTCAGTGAAAGGAGTCACTGATGAGGAGGTAATCTGCTATTTTTCACAATTCTTAGGCTGTAACTACTTGTTAGATCTTTCTTGCATATCTTTGTTTTCCTGAGAAACCACTTTGAAGATACCACCATGTATTACAGCAGCCATTGATAATTTTCTACCAATCTCTCCATAACTCTGTAAAGTTTCTATTGTTCCTATGCTATTTTGTAAATGGATGTATGTTTATTACTATGTGTTTTCAAAAACAACCATTGAAAATAGTCAATGATTATTTATTGATCACTCATGTATAGCTCTATTTGTTTTCCCTAAAAACCCCTTTAAGAAACCAAAGTATAGTACAACAACCTTTGATAATTTCCTACCATTTTTGTCTGTAACTCACTATTATTTGTCTATTTGTTTTCCTGAGAAACTATCTTGAAGATACCAATAGGTAAAATAACAACCATTGATATTGTCCTACCACTTTGTCTGTAATTTGGTAAATCTCCCTATTACTATGTTATCCTTCTTTTACTCTTTTAAATAAAAAAAAATAATAACATCTTTTAAATATAAGAGTCTCTAGACTCCCTAGACAGCCTCTGTATATTATATACTTACTACGTGTGTTAACTACTTCCTAGTCACTACACACTATAAATTAGAAAATACACTATAGATAAGAAAATTGTAAGAGATGTTCTGTAACTTTTCTTAATTCCAGAAGTCACATTCAAATCCAAGTTTTCCCGAGTCCAGTGCATGCTCATAATCTTAGCTACGCTGACTGCAACTCCTGGAAACTTCAATAAAACTTCTTTTGAAATAGAAACCTGGTCAGAATTGTCAAAATTTAGTCTGAAAAGATTGACAAGTAATGAGTTTCTCAAGATGAACTGATTGAAAGAACCCATCCAAAGAAGATCATCACACCAGTAATCAATACTACTTGTAATTATAGTAAAACCTCCTGATACAAGTTTTGCCATGTTTGCCCCTATTTCATGAGTGAAATAAAAATTAGCAATTAAATCCCAGAATTTGTTGCACAGGAAAAGTATCACTTCACAGTGAAGGATTTAGCTGATACAACTTCACCTATGTTCAATTTTTGTCTCACCAATGGGGAAAAAGCAATTCTATGACTCTGGAAAGATGAAAACATACCACCTATGATGATTTCTAGCCAAAATGCTTGCTTTGACCTAATCAAGCTTTTGGACCTAACTTCCAATTTTGGGAATTACAAGAACCATAGCAGTAAACTCAGTGATACCAAAAAAAAAGAATCAAGACAAATTCAAAAGATGGGACAGTCTCCAAGTGAGTTTAAGGCCAACCTCAACTGCATAGTGGAATCCTGCCTCAAAAAAAAAAAAAAAAAAGACATTTAAGGGACATAACATTCACATATAATGCATGGTCCTGGACAAAATTCTGCTTCAGACAAACCATCTGTCCAGAGCATTGTAGGCATAACTGTGAATATTTGAATATGCTGAAGAATTAGATGAAATTATGAAGGAGTACCAATCGTATTATTTGTTATGATAATTTGACATTGTAGGATGTGTTCTTATTTTTAAGGCATGTATACTTAAGTATTTAGAGACAAAATGTTAAAATATCTGTATTTTACTTTAAAATACACAAACATAAACACAGGCCTAAAAAAGAGGGGACAATTATAACTGCAAAAAACCTGAGTACAAACAATTCAAGGTTACAACTCATGTGCCAGTGTCAAGGAATGAAGGCGGCAGCATGGAAAGCAGCATCCACGCTGTCTCCATTGCGATGATCCTGAAACACTGTGATCATTTCAGATCTTCTTATTCCTCTCTTCTGTGATTTTGAACAAAGTGCTAACTGGAATGTTTTAAAAATTTAAAGCAACCTATTAACTTTAAAAAGATCCCTTAGTATAATTTAGAGGCACTTTTACGTTTATTATACTAACATTCAGCATCGGAGAAGAATTAGAATTAGGAGATGAGAAATTAATACATTTCTAACAATCACAGCTGAGACAATACGGAGTGCTGATTTCCATGCTGCTGTCATTACTGCACAGGCTTCATTTCCGTTCCCTACACAGAAATGACTTCCTTTGTATGTTACTAAGCCTTCTTTGGTCTAAACACCTATCTAACTAATAAGGAAGTAAATCCAAGAGTTTAGATGATATCTGGGAGACAGGAGTTAAACATCAGTTGCAAGCAAACAACCAGTGTTTCATGAAATGACTTTGAGTCACTGTAGTTGACAGTGCTGGCCATTAGCTGGCATAAAATGAAAGTTACTAGTGAAAAGTAAGGAAATCTTAGATCTTTAAGGACAAAAAATCACTCTAGTTCAGACACAAGCAGGTTAGATCTATAGAGTACTAGTGCTCTTCAGGGTGCCTACATCTTAGTACAAAGATCAAAGGTACCTTTTTCTCTCCCTTCACGGAAATGTGCAGTTTAAACAAACAGCACCTGCCTTTGGATATGGAAATAATAGATTCAAAAAATCTAACAAAGAAAAAACAAGAACAGCAAAAACAAACCTGAGGCCCAGCTGCCTGCAGATCACTTCTGCATCCGCGTCATCCCACTGGTCGTCGCAGATGGTCCCCCACTGGCCAGCATGGTAGAGCTCCACTCGACCTTCATGCACGCCGCGGCCACCAGCGAGGCGAATGACAGGCAATGATAGGCCTTGCAGTGTGAAAGTAAAAACAAGGTGAACATAGGTGTTTACATCCATCTGTAGAAAACTAGGTATATTCTGTTTTTCCCATTCTCAATTATATTCATTAAGCCACACTAGTTTTTTGGTACTGGGAATCGAACTCAGGACCTTGTGCTTGCCAAGCAAGGTGCTGTGCCACTCAGCTGTATCCCCAGCAAGCCACAGTAGTGATATGAACATGAACGTGTATATTTGACATATATCATGGTAATCTTGATCAATTCAATTGACTCTAGATTGAATTACACAATTAGCCTTTCACAGGAAATAGTCTACATTCACTTTTCCCCAACAACATCAAAAACCACAAAAGACACACTAAAAAGCTGCAGATTACTGGAATCATGTTTGATTTTTACGGTATTATGGTGAAGACATTTTATTTATAGCAACTTGAGCATTATCAACATGTAATTATTAGAAGTGGAACTTATGTTTATAACACACTTGTTTTCAGCACAGAATTATATACTTTTTCTAGAAATCAAGTCAAAATTACTATCTAATTCATTATAACTTGATGATAGCTATTGTAGTCAGGCCCTCCAATAAACGATATTGAGAGTTCATTTGGACATGAATCATATCATACTCATTTCCTCTGCCAAGACCCATCCCGGGTGGTTACATTCCCATTGTCTCCAGCCCCTGCCAATCTCGGGACTTCTCTGCCTCCTCTCCTCATCCCTTTCGCTCGGCTACAACCACAAGGTCCTCCTCTTCCACCCATCCCTAAAGTACTCCAAGTTCGTGGTCACCTCAGTCTTTGCCTTTGCTGCTCCTTTTGCTTGGAATAATGTCCCACAGATATCACATGGCTGTGTCCTTCTCATCATTCACGTATCATCTCTGAATGTCCCTTCCCCAGGAAACCTGCCCAACTGCCCAGGCATAGCCACTTCCTACTACATTATCCAGTGTGCTTCCTCACAGTATTTGCTTTGGTCAAAGTGGTCTTTTATTACATCAGTTGACAATGATACCTAACCTCAGCTAGAATGAGGACAGAGACACTGCCCTTCCTTCTGACCTTTGTATTTCAGGTCATGAACGTAATACCTATAGTGTTTATTCACTGATTGGATTGGTAAGTGATGCTAAAAATCCAGAAAATGTATTCCAAGCGAGGAAAATAATGTGCAGTGTCCAAGTACTCCACTGTGGTTTTTTCCATTTTTATTTTTTATTGGCGATGTTTGCCGTCCTCCTGGGGAGTTAGTCATGTGCATGACACTTCTCTATCCCTTATTCATCCCTTCCCCTCTCCACCACCATCTTCCCTCCATCTCTTGGTACACTTCCATTTTACAAAAGCTCTATCTCCCTACTTCCAATTATCCATCTTTTATTTTGCTCTTTACTTATATCTTGGGATTCTCATACAAGAGAAACCATGCAAGATTTAAGTCTGCATGCCTGGTTTATTTTGCTTAACATAATAGTCTCAAGGAACACCCATTTTCTTACAAATGACTCAAGTTTATCCTTCTTTATGGCACAGCAGTACTTCATCATCTATAAATACATTTTCTTTATCCACTCACCTATTGATGGACATATAAGCCACTTCTAAGATTTAGCTATTATGAATCATGCTGCTATAAATATTGGTAGGGGTATATGATTAACAAACAATATAGACATGTGTGATGTACAAGGCACTAGAATTGATACCCAGGGCACTCAAGAGGGTTCTAGACACAGCTTACCCATAAGAAGCTTACGGTCTCTGGGTATCAGCAATCCTAGCACTCAGTAGGCTGAGGCAAGAGGACCACGAATTCAAGGCCAGCCTGCACTACGATCAAGCTTAAGGACAACTTGGATCACACAGTTAGAGCTTGCCTCAAAAAAAAAGGAAGAAGCTGGGTGTAGTGGTACCTGCCTGGAATTCCTGCACCCAGGAGACTGAAGCAGGTTGATCTCTGTGAGTTCAAGGCCAACCTCTACTACATAGCAAGACCCTGTCTCAAAAAAAACAAAAACAAAACAAAAAAAAAGAACTTTGATGTTGCCCAAGAATATGGGCAAAATGAGTAAAGAAACCCCCCAAGTGATTCAGAAGCAAAGGAGCTGAGCAGAGTTGTGGGCAGTTAGGGGCCCTCCCTTGAAAGAGCGAGTCCAAAGGGACAGAGGGCTTGGGAAGCTAAAGATGGAGGAAGCGCGGTTCTCACAACACAATCAGTCTGAGCAAATCACGAAGCACAGAAAAGCACAAAATAGAACGTGTCTGGCAGTAAGGCAGTGAGTCCTTATCAGGAAGTGTATCTTTGCCAACTACTAATCATTTATCCATATGAAATACACTTCTAATTCTCCACACTATAAGTAGCTATCAGTAAATGGGATCTGGATAATCACACTTACATTAAAAGTGTGCTTGAGTTTTACAGCAAAAAGTCAATCAGTGGATATTTGCCAATGCATTCTGATATTAGTAATACAGTGTACTTGTATGTTATAATCTAAATAAACATAAATAATAATGAATAATCACAATTCTCACAAATTATGACATTTATTTATGATGTTTATTTTTTCCTTAAAAACCTGGAATTATACAACAATGATAAAAAATGCATGTGTTTCTTTAAGTCAACATATGCTATTTCTTTGGTGAGCTTAGGGAAAATAATAAATGAAAAAATTTAAGATGAAATTTGAAATCAGCTACTCTAGAGTCTTCATGACATACTGCCTCTCATTTTATAATTATGCTCCATTGTATTCTCAAATGTGTGAAGTTTATTTCCTGGTTGGATAAGTATTTGTCAAAATATAGAAAAACACACAAATAAAATTTGGCCGATAGCCTCGTCTTCTCAACAAACTCACAAGAACCATTTGAGAGAATTCAGTGAAACAGTTGGCTTGTGTTTTAGTTATAGATAAATAAAAATCCCCACATGTTTCCATTTAGCTTGCTGGTGTCCTCTACATCCAAAACTTGCACATGGTTTTATGACAAGACACCAAATTCCCAAAGTAAAGAAACTCAATGAAGATCAACCACTGTGCCCTGTGGGAGAGTCTGCACTCTCTGATTTCAGGTAAGTCATTTCATGTTCTCAACTAATCTACTATAAGAGGACCTCTTTTCACGATCACTTCTAAGTTATCAAAACCCCCTGCTTTATATGTCTACAAATGACCTCAAAATTATATTTATAAGCAGAATATAATAGATGAATAAATTATAGAGGGCAAGAGATTTTTTAAGAAGATAGAATGATAGAAAAAATAATTATTATCTACAAAATTTTACTTTATTATTTGAAAAATGTTACACATTTTATAAGTTAGGCTGAACACAGAGTAAAAGGAATTAGCTGCAAAAGCCGTGGATTATTGGGCCCAATTAATACCATCCTCAAAACAGCACTGCAGAACACGAACTAGACAAGGTAATCTTACCCAAAAGGTGGAGAACAGAAAGAAGAAACGGAGAAACTTAACAGGACGTCAGGAGTGAACAGGTTCCTCTCCCCTCCACAGACGACTGCAGCTCTCAGCGCACGCCCACACCATGCTCTTCCATTATTCCACTTCAAAGAAACGACTTACTCTGCACTTGGTCTCTCCTGTGCTCGAAGGTTTTTTAGTCCCTTCCCCAATAATTATACTCAAACAGGAACCACTGCCCTGCACTAGCAGTTAGCAATTCAAGTCCTGGGACATCCGGTCATGATACTGTCTCCAAGGAAAATGCAAAATGTGACACTGTAAGCATGTGATGACACATTAAAATGTACTGTTGCCCCTAAAATTCCGTGATCCACCCCAAAGGATAGGTGTTCCCTTCTCTACTTACACTCACATGAACATATACGTATCTGCGAACTGAAACCATACTAGCTGATCACCACATTCACAACATGGGGCTTGGGGGAAGCCTTATCTAAGCCAAGAATCCATTCTTTAAGAACTGTGCTACCTACAACCTGAAGAACCCCAATACCATGATTATACTGCATCACACAAAGAAAAAACATTTGTTTTAGTGACTGTATTTTACATAAAGATTCAAAATAATTTTCCATCTTGCCTCCATCATGATTTCTCCTTGCCAAAATAAGTTTCATATGTGATATATTATACAGTATATCATTAATATATCTACAGCCAAATTATATGAAAAGAAAATATGTTGAAATGAGATGCTATTTAAACATCAAGTCGAATTCAAAGAGTTAAATGCACTCATATTGGAGACTAGTTTGTGTCAAATATGAATCAGACTCATTTCTATATTTAAACTCGAAATGATTTAACTAAGATACTTTTATCATCTGGAATCATGTTTAAAACACAATGAAACCAAAACAAGACAATTTTTTTGTTTTACCATGGGAAAAGCTACACGTGACAGCAGCTACCATCTTTACAGGACACACCCCACCCTGCCAGATGTCTTTTTCACAAAGAAATATATTTTCCTCATCTCCTTGGCAACAGACATTGCTCTAATAAATAAGAATATGGCCCAGTCCAGAAAACACAGGGTTTGTTTTGCTATTTTTTCCACTCTGGAAATTCAGTAATTGATGATAGTTTTATCAAATGTAATCAAAACTTTTAATCAAAGCATTTGGATTTTTGAAAATAAAAGGAATCAGTAAACATGTCTATGGAAGGAAAGAAGAAAAAAAATACCAGATTGTGTTTCAAGGAGTTCAAAACAAACCAAAACTTGGATTGATTAAGCAGTCATTTTTTAAAATCAAACTTCAGTAGCAATTGGTATGCGCTTTTATCATCTGAGACTGAGTTAGAAGAAAGTGGACATGTTTTTTGAAACATGAAAAAGGGAATCTGGATGATTTTGTGCAACAAATGTGTCAAAAGACCTAGTGAGGCTTGGATTTGTGTCTGGACTCAGCTAAAAGTCATTCTGTGTTACACATCTCCCTTAGGCTACCTTCGTATGTGTAAAAGAAATGTTCAGATGATTGAAGATTGTTTCCAA